ACACATAAAATATTTTATTGTTCTCTTAACTAGGTAAATAAATTAAATGTATGGGGGTATCAAGCTGACCCTTCACCATCTCTAACTTCTTAAAACCTAGGAGTGGTGGTGTGGTCTTACCCAACTTACAGAACGGCGTTACTTCAGGGAGAGTCTCAGCCTGCTTCAATCAAATCAAAAAAAAGTCCCACTGGGTTCCGTAGCACATGTGTAGGAGTTTACTCAACAAACTCTGACACATTTATACATGAGACGAAATTCAAACTATACTATGAAATATGTTTTAATTAAAAAAAAAAAGAAAAAACAAAACACAACCCAAATATTTACATCATATATATATTTTTCCATATTTATAGCCGTGCATGCAGTGTAATCATACCATTGCCTTGATTTTTGCACTGTTTCAAAGCTGAGAGGCTTTAACTATTTTTTTCCACTGATTTTCTGTAACTCGCATGAGGTTAGGATGTTCTGGTTGCTTCATTAAATACCTCGAGGGTCACTTTTTGGTAGTTTTGTCTGGAAAGAGCGTGTCCAGAATGTAGTGCAACAGGCCTTTCAGGTTACCTGAGCACAGGTAGTGTTTGTGGTAAAGAGCAGCTTGTGATCCAAGATGTTTTTCATACCAGGGCAGTCTCTTCTGTTCCATTTTACGCTTTCCTAACACAAAAATTCTTAGGAATTGGAAAGCAATTCTATTTGCAGTTGCTACTGAGTGGAGCAACTTGGTGATGGTGGTCACTGCCACCAGCGGCGCCAGCTTAAGGAACTGTCCCCTGTCGCTGTGCTGTGTCACAGGAGTCCACGTACCTCCTTCTCCTTCCTGGAGTTAATAGTTAGCAGTTGGCTGTGTGAGATCAAATGCAACTAAAGGCAGTTAGTTAGAACAACTAGTTTCATATCTCAGCGCTTAATGGTGTCTTACGAGCCTTCTTTCTTTCACTTCTGGATGGTTTGGTGATTAAATGTTAAAGCATATTCATCTGACTTTATTCTGTGTAGTCTTCTGCTGGCCGAGAAGGATTTTTGCATATGACAATCTTTTTCGCCAGTGTTAGTTATTTTTGTTTATTGCCTGAACCTCATATGAGCATATATAAGTTTTAGGAAAGAATCCCAGAGCAGTCTGTTGATTGGAGTTATGCTTTGGATGTTTTGATGAGTTGTTTTTAGAAAGCTGTGAGAAGTCTGTGGTTAAGTATTTTTTTCACAAAGGGAAACGTTGGCGTTTATGGGGAGGGAAAAAGACAAGATACACAGCTTTGGAATCAGGTAAAATTCCATGCAAAACAGAAATATTTGTGAATTAACTCTTAAACAGGGCAGAGTTTTCACATTTTAGCTTTCGATAACGCAAGAATAAAACTAGCACATGAAAGGTTTTTGTTCTGGTGTTTATAATATAAATTAAAACTGAACAGTGACATTGATTTTGTTTCCAGTGTAATAGTAAATTTTATTGAAGAGGATGTCCATAATTTCACTAAGGCTTAGCAGTCATATGTAAAGATTCAAACTTTAAAACTGTAATGAAATGCTTTGATTTTTTTATATCCAAAAACCTGAGCAAGCCTGAAAGTTCTCATAGTTCAGAAGTGTTTCTGAGTAATACTAATGGGGGATCATTGACACCTAGCTGCTTAGCTGGATGAAAGAATGCCATAACATGGGTCTTGTTATTGAGAAATAGAGAAAGGAAGCACAGACCAGCTGTCTTGTGATTGATTTGACCTTAGATATTCTTACAGTACAGAATCTATCATGCTGACATCTTCAAGGTTCCTTTAGCAACTTTGAATTTACTGGCACCTTTGAAAAATAGCTATTGATTGGTATATCTGTACATTGGGTCACATTGCTGCTTTTCTTTTGCTTTTTTTCTCTTCTTTTTTAAACCAAACAGATCAGAAATATGCACGTAATCAAATATTTTACTCATTTTCTTCTCATAAAATGCAGTAAGAAAATAACCTTTTACCACATCTTTGCACAGCCATCACAGTAAGCAGCGCAGAATGTGCTTTGTTTTCTAGAGCAATTAAGAAAGCCAAGATTTGGTCGCAGCCACATTCTCCATTTTTCCCCACGTAGACACCTGTGCGCATAACCGCCACCACGTCCTGTGCCATGGTGCTGCTGTCAGAGAACGTTACAGCCCTGGGCAGAGATGTACTTTCCATAAGTGAGGCCTGAGAGGCAAAATGTTTCTCAGCTGCAGAGAAACTAAAAGCTCCATGTTCGTGGGCCTGCCTGGGTCCGTTTGCACTGCAAGCGCAGCTTGAGCGCCTGTGAACGGCACAGAGCGAAGGCCTCCTCAGCTGAGAGGTACATCAAGGGCAGTTTTCAGCGGAAGGAAGGCAGTTACAGGTGTACATACAAACCTGTTTATGCGGGGAGTAAGTCCTATCTACTTAAGGCACTTTACAGTGCCAGAACCTTTGTTTTTAACAGCAGACGTCAGACACCCGCATTTCTCTGGCTGTGTCTGGTATCAGTGCGAGGTACCTTTGTGGACATCTTAGTGGAAGTTATAGTACGACGTAACGAATTTTCCAAACTAGAAGTAGACGATTTTTGCAACAGAATGATTTAGTAAAGCAGTTTGAGTTGCCTGGAGATGAGAAGCACTGCTTTTACTAGTCATGTTAACCTCTGGAAGGGGTGGAGTTCATAGGCTTTTGCTCAAAGAATTGTGTGCTGATTCCAGATTTTATTACCTTAGAGCAGAAGTGTGAGTAGCATAAAATGGAATTACTTTGTGGCCTGTAGTAACTGATAGGTGCACCCACAATCCCTTGTTTTTCTCTTCAGCGTAATCTTGGCATTTTTATTTCCTCTATTCCCAGCGTATGGACTGTGTGTGTGATATGAACAGAAAAAAAAACAACAAAACCCACCTCGATTAGTAAGGAAGAGCCAGCATGCATGAAACACAATTCTTCCTATTAAGCAATTGTTAAAACCACAAGTTGATCTTTTTTATTTTACTTTTTTTTTATTTTGCTTCTTCTAAAACTTAATAAAAACCTAAACCATGACAGTTCTAGGCTGGAAATACTTTTACCATGCAACAGCTCTGGCGTTATTGGTAGCCTTTGCTGAAACCAACTGTAGCTGTGCTGACTGCGAACCGAAGTTCCCCCCTAAAGCACTACCGTACCCTCTTAGCTTCTGGGGTATATCTGTGCACAGGGAGTTTCACGCGCAGGCTGTGTGGCAACCTTCCAGGGACTTGATGGAATTAATCACCTTCTGTGGAATCCAATTCGCCAAAAACATCCCAGCCATTCGCTGTGTCACAAAGAGAAATGCAGACTCGCTTCGACTTGCTGTTTAGCTCATGGTGATTTGCAAACTGAAGGAGCCCGTTCCATTTTATCGCTTTGTTTGGCAATCTGTTTACAGAAGACGGTTCCCAGTGTTGATGGACAGGGATTTGCACTTCACGCTAACAGAAAAATGAGTATATGGAAGATCCCATTATAACACCAAGGTATTCTGGGCTTTCACCAGATAATTTTTACTCATGGCAGTTAGAAATTCTGTTTACTCGTTGGCAGATCTTGCTTTCGGGAAGGGTAAGGGGAGGGTGTTCATCCCCAGCGGTGGCTGAAGCCGTCGGGAAGGCTGGCTGAGCCAGGGGCTGGCCTTGCCACCAGCTCGCCCTTAAACACCGCTCGCTTTACCCTTTTGCCCGTCGGGTAGTACTCGGAGTGGCCATCCCAAAGAGCTGTGCTTTTGTCCTGCGGGGGCAAGGTGTGTGTTGGGCAGCAGGGGACACAGTAGCATCTCTCTGAAAATTTCATTACCTGTCTGACATTTAAGAAGAAAAATACCTAAAAAGCTCTGTTACCAGGGTCCAAATTAGAAGAACTAAAGGGTCGCGCCACGAGTCCTGAAAGGTGGAAGCGTGACGGTGACTTCCCTGAGGAAAGACCAAGAGCTCTGTAACCACTGCCAGCCTTTAGAACCTTGGTGCTTCAGCACCACCGCTGGCCAGGACAGTCACTGGTTTACTTCCCTGTAGGCGTGTCGAAACAAAGGATGATCTCAAAATTATAGAGCAGGTCTGTTCCACTCTATTCGTATCACAGCAAGAGTTTTGGCAGCGTGACAAGAGATTCGATTCAAAGGAGCTCGATTTTCCTGTTATCTAGAGGTTAAAGGCCACTTACTTCATTGGGTCTGAAGTCCAAATTAAACAGCCAAAGTGACCAAGTTATTTGAGTTCTGTAACATCTATTCTATTTTTGGATTAGAATGTTCTTTTTATAAACCATGGAAAATTAAAGACAGACCCTAGTTATAAAACACCAAGTGCTTTACGCTTGCTGTTACTCACAAACCTTGTCATGGTTGAAATATGTCAAAATCATGGATTTTGGTTCACCTGTCAGGACCTGGAAAACCATTTTGTATCAATCTAAATTCACTTGTGTCGCTGAAGACTTTGCAGATTGGAGCTTTTTGTTTCTTTGCTACTTTCAAGCTCCGTATAAAGACATGTGGGATTTGGAAAGTCATAAATTAAATTTTCTCGAGCCTTGGGTTCAAGACTCTGGGATAAAACTTCTGCTGTAGTTGAATGGCTAAAGTTTTCAGATATTTCTGGTTGTCTGGAGGAAAACCAACGCTACTTAATAACAACTACCTTTTTTTTTTTCTTCTTAATGTAGAAAACCTTAATATTTTCAGGTACGTGGAAAGAATGATTAGAATTTGCAAAACTAAAGACTTCTGATTGTATTCATATGCATGCTGTTCAGAGGTGCAGTTAAAGTCAGTGTTATCTGTCAAAAAAGGAGAATTTTTTTTTCCACTTATGGCTTTAATTTCACTTTTTTTAGTTTATTTTTTTAATGGTTTGCACGCTTACCAAATGTTCTGTACAGTATACTAGTGAAGTGCTGTGACACTCTGTCTGGGCTTGAACTCTCACCGTAGATATAACTAGCTGCTTTTAAAATGCCTGTTTCTTTTGTTTGTTTGCTTTTCAGGGATTACAATGGTTGACACAGAAATGCCGTTTTGGCCCATTAATTTTGGAATTAGCCCCGTGGATCTGTCTGCGATGGATGATCATACACATTCCTTTGACATAAAGCCATTTACCACCGTGGATTTTTCAAGCATTTCTTCACCACACTATGAAGATGTGCCTCTTGCAAGAACTGATCAGACAAACATTGATTATAAATACGATATCAAGCTCCAGGAATGCAAAAGTATGCTTTTATTTATTTACATATATATATATATTTCCTTTCTGTTCATATTTGCTTCACTCTCTGGAAAGTGTACTACCAGCAAGAGAATTTAGAAATATTCAGATGCCTAACTGCCCAAACCCTCTAGCATCAGAGATGTCCACAAGATATTCTTGCAGGGCAGTTAGAAAAGAATACGTTTAGTACACCTTCCCCCTTCCAGAGCAGCAGCTGGAAGTTAGGCAACGTCATCCAGTATCTAAAATGACATTAAACACTTTTTATTAAACACGTGAACCCCAGTTATTTCTGGAACCTCTAGGGTCCTATTCGTGTGTCTTGTGTGTAAATTGTCCTTTGAAGCTCTGCACACGCAAGGCAGAATAAATATCCTGGATGCTAAAATATGCCCTATCATACATAGCATATTAATAATTAATACTTTTAAATTCCAAGTGGTCTAAGAAGCTGGCGGTGTCATTCGCGTCACAGGTAACCGTTTTCTTTTGTTTCATTAGAAATGTCCCTAACACTTTAAGAACAAGCTAGGGAGTGCACTAGAGTTTACGCAGGATAAATCCTCTTCATCTTTACTTACATAATTTTTCTTTTTTTTTTTTCTTAGTTTATGCAGGAAAGAAAACTGTGTAGTTTGCATAGTGTAGCCAGTCTGGAAAAGAAAAACATCCACTTTATATTAATACGGGGTCTGTTACCTCACTTATGAGGCGTGATCTGACGCAATGTTACTATGTCAGATTTCCCAGCTCTCTTCTATGACCAGCAACGACTGATTTAAAGATGTCATATTTGCTTCTTTGAGCTTGTTCAATATGACAAATTGCTCTTAATTAGAAACTTCCAGAAGAGAAAATGTGTCTATGATCTGCATCCAAAGCTGAACAGTGTTCCCCAGGAGAGAGCCCTTATTCTATTATCCAGTCATATATTATTCAATGTATAGATCAATCAGACACTTCAATATCTTTGAGACTGGACTAGAAACTCCAGCTCGTCTCCCTGCAGGGGCTGTGAACACCTTAAAGGGATGCAACCAGAGAAATGTCAGGCCTTTCAAGCATGAGGTCTCTGGCTGAAAACTTTTAATACCTTCAAGTCATTCCATGCTACAGAACTGAAAACTGAGCCCGTAAAACACTCCAGAGTCTGCCTCTCCAAGGTGGTTCATAGAATCCTAGACTGGCCTAGGCTGGAAGGGACCTTAGAGATCATCTAGTCCAACCTCCCTGTCACGGGCAGGGTCGCCACCTCTCGACTAGCCTACTTCAGCCTGTGAAGTAGCTGCCGACAGCGTGCTGCCCTTTCCATCCTTTTTTACAATTGGTTTTGTGTTACGAAGCAGCCCCACACATCCAGCTGCGTTTCCCACGATTGCTTGTGATTATTGCTTGCTTCTTCTTCTAGGTACTTAATTATACTCTGAGTTTAGCCTTTAAATCTTCTCTGTGTGCAGGTGCGATCAAACTGGAGCCCCCTTCCCCGCCCTATTTCGCAGAAAAAGTCCAGTTGTACAACAAACCTCACGAGGAGTCTTCCAACTCGCTCATGGCTATCGAGTGCCGCGTGTGCGGCGACAAGGCCTCCGGATTTCATTACGGCGTGCATGCCTGCGAGGGCTGTAAGGTAGGGTGTCACAGATGGATTTTTTATGAAGTAAGCTTCGATACTATTTTCATCTGAATAATCACTTGGTAAAATCGGAGATCTGCGCTTTTTAAAAAAAAAAAAAAAGTATCTCTTTAAGTACATTGCTCCACGCATACTTTATGACTTAAGTGGGAGTTTCTTAAAATGTAATTTGCTTTTTAAGTGATGTTACTGATCTATTTGGATTTTTTGTGCTTTTCTTCTACTTTTGTCAATTGTGTTTCATTTTTTTCCTGCTGTCTTGGAGGTCAGAATCCAAATTCACAGAACGCAGCAAAAGCAGACTTGTGCCCAACTCCAGTGCTCAATATTCTGAGCAATTTAAAATTCAGACTCTGTTACGCTGATTGATTACAGTTTCTTTCCTGAATTTAGGCATTTCTCAGTGACTTCAGGAAAGTCTAATGGTATCAAAGAATGCAACTTTCTGCTTTAAAACTCCACCATTTCTTTTTATGTCAAAGATAACTTAGTTTTTATAACACATAAAGGGCAAATTAATGGTGTAAAAACTGACCATCCTCTAGAATGAGAAAAGAAATGCCAGAGGCTGTAATTGCTAATAATTCATTGAGTTCAAAGAACAATGTTGCAGAGTTTATGAAATTCCCATCTTCCCTGTTTTCAATATCTTGAGGAATATAACTAATAGGAAGGACCCAATGCAGAGCTGAAATAAAATTTGTAGCACTGGATCAGGAACACACATAAAGCGATAAGTATGTGGTTGATCACTTAAATTACATAAATAAGAGTTGGCATTATGCTTTTATTGTTATTATTTGTTGTGAGGGGAAATTAATTGTTACAAGGAACAAATTATGGCAAATTTGCATATGCTTTATTAACTGATTAGGAGTGGTCTGAGGAAGCATCTTTAAACTGTAAGAAGACAGAATTGTGCATTTCCACAATGATTTCTCTCTTTATAAGACTTTCTAAGACTTCTGTGCAGTAATTTTCCTGTGTTTGGGACCATGCTTTTGGACTTTTCACCTGCCAACGTACTTTGTAAACTTCCAATATCCAAGCAATGGACATACATTAGAAAATAAAATAACCTAGAAAATAAAACCCGGGCATAAATATCGCAAAATTAGTTCAGCACTGTCTTTTAAACCCCATTGATTCCTACAACTTCCCCAGTTACTTGAGATTTTTACCCCTCAGTCGAACCAGTTGAAAATGGCTAATAAGATCAGAACAGGATAAGTAGACAGCATGATTGCATGAGCTTTGCTTCTTTTGAAAATCGGTCTAAAACAAAGTTAGGTTCAGAGTGTATACTGAAAGGTGCTTTTGTGTGTTTTGAGGAGTGAGACGATGTCACCGGCAGTTTCTTGCATCTTTTTCATACGCTTTTCTGTTTACTCCAGGGCTTTTTTCGAAGAACAATCAGATTAAAGCTGATTTATGACAGGTGTGATCTTAATTGCCGCATCCACAAGAAAAGCAGAAATAAATGTCAATACTGCAGATTTCAGAAATGCCTCGCCGTTGGGATGTCACATAATGGTAAGTGTGTGTTTTGAAAAAACAAAGTTTCTTCTGAGGAATAGCACAAAACATCAATATGGTTACTGAATGTGCTGCTTTAACACCTGCAGTCTTCTGTTGCTTTACTCTAGACGTTTTAGAAACAGGTATTGACCTGATTGCCTCTGAGGTTACATTCAATATCAAAACAGATAGGCAGAGATCTGCACTTACCGGTATCATAAATAACACATGCGTGTGGTTTGCTCTTCATCCTTCTCGCTTCATGCGCTGTCAGTTGTTCTTCCTGACATATTCCTAGTGTAATTGTTGCTTTTCAGTTCTTTGTCTTATTTTCTGACAAAACTCTTGCCTACTGTAGCTCACTATCCCTTTCCTGTCAGTGGAAAAAGTGTTATGAAAAATGGACTCGAGGATTTAGGGCAATTTATGGATAACAGCTTGAATTTGAGGCAGAGAACACTTATTGGGGACTGTTAGCATCACTAAGCCAACACTTCCTCATCGTAGAACATGACATACTTGAAATGAATGGGCCAAACCCTGCAACGTTTTAAAAAAAAAAAAAAAAAAAAGAAACAAAAACCCAGTCCTCCTCCTTCCTAGGGTACCCACATCTGGGCATGGGTTTGAAGTGCGGTAAGAGCAATGGGGTGTTTCTTAGCGTGCCTCTCATCCTCCAGCCTGGGTAGCTGTGATTCCTGTCTCATGGGCGCTCTCTGCCCTCTCCACTACTCAGGGGGGGCCAGCCCCTCCCGTGTGGGAGCTGGGAGCGGCGTTTCCCCTTCGAATATGCCGTGCCCTTGGATTGCAAAGGCGTTGGCAATTGCGGACGGTTCTGCGATGGCCTTCCTTCCAGGTGGTGTGCAGATAGCGTTAAGCGTCTCATGATACTGCTCTCTTGCATAGAATGGAGAAGAAAGTCCCTCTGAATTTTAAGATTAACGTATCAATTCATGTGGAAATACTTACTTACAAATGTTTGGACAGAAAGACATAATGAGGATTCTTTGCTGCCTTGCTTTGGCAAAGCTGAGTAAAAACAGGAATTAAATGTCATAACATAGAGACTTATGTAATTCTAGGGGTAAAGAATTGCAAACATGACTGGGAAAATAATTTCTCTGTGGTTTTTTTAGAACTTTCATTATTTTCAATATTAAAAAAAAGAGTGTACTGTCCCCAAGAGGAAAGCTTGACTGTGGTTTGCAAAGTTAATACATGCAGTGAATGTAAATTGCTATGGGAAATGTTTTGCTAATAGAAGATAGGGTTTTCAAGTTCCTGGGATGCAACAGTAACACTTAAAAATAAATCTAATTTTGAAATGCTACTGTGGATGTTTTTGTAGTAACTCGGGAGGTTTTGTTGTTATTGTTTTCAAGGTGCATGCCAAATTCTCTCATAACCTAGCAACACAGCTCCCGGTTATGTCAGTGGGAACCATGGTCAGTTCTACGAAAAAGCAGAAGGCCGAGATCATTCTCTCTGGCTAAGTAACATAAAGGGCCCGAAAACTATTTTTAAAACTAGCCTTTACCCCTCCTATTCAGCCACTGCCGAGGCAGGAGCTGTGACACCAGCAGGCCCTGGTTCTGGCCGTCAGGGCAAGCAGGAGGGCAGGGCCAAGCCGTTTGTCCCAGGGCTCGGAGGAATGCTTTTATTTGCTCTCGCCATGGGACACATATGTAAGTTCCTCCATTTAAGCAGTGACATTATCTGAATTTAAAATGCTTGGAATCAGAACGCAGACAGCAAATAGTAATTGAGGGTTCCAGTCTCTGACTGTCTTTGCATGGCTATATTATTGCAAAATGAACAGGGCACTTAGCAAAACAGAGAATGCCAGGAGACGCTTAGCAGCTTCAGCCCCATTTTTTCACGTATAAATGCTACGTACCACTTGGCTGAAGGTTCGAAAAGACAGTGGTGTTCTCATGCTTTGAATATTGTTTTCCTTTCCTTCTCTAGCTGCAGTGCTGCTCTGTGCTTAGCCCCTAACCCCTCAGATTGCATTCTGAAGTACCACTGCGCAGAAGCTTGGTTCTTTTCTTTTAGAAATTTCTTTACTGTTTTCTCCTCCACTAAAAGTATTACTTATACAAAACCAACTACTGTAATGGGCAAAAAAGGATACGTGGCAGTATGTCCTTATTATCAGTTCTAGGAGCCGTGAATTGCTCAATCTGGACACATCCATAATCTAGGCAATCAGAAAAGTAGAGTGCTGTACTGAATAGCCTGTAAGTAATCATAGTGACTTTGCCAAGCCATAAAATGTGGCGTAAGGATAAATCTTCCAGTTTTTCCACAGAAAGGCAAACAATATAATGTAGCATGTAGTGTCTTCCTATATCCACTATTGATTTTCTCTTACTGACTTTTGGAGAGTACTGTAAATGCAAGTAAATAAATAACTGCCAAAGGAAAGCGCGAGGGATGGTACGTTCCAGCTGGAGTCACGTGCCCAAACTTGCACAATCTTCTGTTACTGTGAAAGAAATTGCCATCTGAACCTTTTCCACCCTTGCGGCATGAGCAGCGAGCCGTATTTCCACACCTCTTGTCCCAGCTCGCTGGCGTGTCCCTGCCCTTCCCCGCCCCTACAGATCCTGCCTCGATCCCCTTCCCAGGCTCCCCGGAGTTGGGGTGAGCCTGTGGTGAGGGGAGACGGAGGAGAGAGAGAAGACAGGGTAGCAAGGAGGGTAAGATTAGGTGTTAGGAAGAAGTTCTTTATGCTGAGGGTGGTGAGACCCTGGCACAGGTTGCCCGGAGAGGTGCTGGAGGCTCCATCCCTGGAGGCATCCCAGGCCAGGCTGGATGGGCTCTGAGCAGCCGGACCCAGTGAAAGCTGTCCCTGCTCCCTGCAGGGGTTGGACCAGACGAGCTTTAAGGGTCCCTTCCAGCCCAACACGTTCTGTGATTCTGTCATAAGTGGTCTGGGGGAATAGAAGATGAGGCCGGGGTCGCAGGAGGGAGGTGGTGACAAAAGCAGGGAGGTATGTCACCCATCCTTGAAATTTCCCTCAACCCCTAGAAGTGCTGTGAGCTCTTATCTACCCTGTGCATGCCTCTTTTGCCTTTTGCCACCCTTAACCTCTGTAACTAGCACCAATCCCCCCTACTTCTCTCACCCAAAATCCCAGTTTCAGAACTCCTTCCAAACCTCCTGATGCCTGACCTCTCCTTGACTTTTGCCACAGTCCCCTGAAAATGGCAGGGACTGCTCCGGAAGGAAACTGCTAGACGAGTGCCACTAAATTGAATTTTGCCCCACATTTTGCCTGCAGTGCTAATAAACATTGAACAGATTCTGCTACAACTAGTATAATATTTTAAAAACACATTATAAACTTTAAAAAGAATGTTTGAAAGCTATCCTTTTGCCTATCAAATTATATGATAGGACTGTTGGATTCACAACTCTAATTTCATGTTGCTAAGGAATTGTTATATAAAAAATATACATTGGGACCCGATCACCTTTTGTTTAGTAAACTTTATTCTCCTAATTCTTGAATAACATCAGAAGTCTTCCAAGACACATGAGTTTGTGTTTAAAAGCGAGTCATGGAAGATCCACTGCTCTTAATCTATCCTAAAAACACTCCTTTACAAAGAAACGAACACATGTGGAAAAGATAGGTTGCTAATAAACACAGAAGCCGTATGAAAGTAAAGATGGAAAGCAAACTTCACCCTGAGCACAGGTTTCACACGCTAAACAGGAGAAGATACTACAAGATTCCTGAGGGATTTCGTTGTTGCCGAATTCTTTTCTGAAAATTCTATCATGATGGCAGGCGACAAGGTACACCCTGAGGATTGATATAGTCCAGAAAAGAGCCAGATCGCATTTCCATCCTTAGCGGAGTCCATTCACGTATGGTCCTGTCTGCTAAATGCAAACTCACTCACCCTCACCGCCGACTGGTGATCGTTAGGCCAGAGCTGGGCACTCTGGGCCGGTAGGAGAGAAACCCCTCCCCAGCGCTTCCTCCTGGCTTAGCGGATCCGCTCGTACGTTCTTTGGTACCGACGGGGAGTTGGGACTGATTTGACATTGATGCAGTGGCTTTCTGCGCTGTGAGGAAGCTTTGGTTGTTTTATCGAAACTGCGTTCCGAAAGCAGCGCGTGAGCGTTCAGGAATAGAAGTTTGTGCTTATGACCCACTTTAGCGTGTAACAACGTCTGTTCTAATTTCCTCTCAGAGGAATCCTGGCATTTTAACAGCATTTGCTATACTGTTGCCTTTAGCAGTAGTACTTATTTCTTCTGTTGCTCGTGAGGTTATTATTGTTGTTGTTATTTGTTCATTTGCACAGAAGAAATTTTAAATAATCAGTTTTTAAAAAAGTAACCAGGTATCTGATTGTTGTAGGACCAAAGAATGACTTGGGCTGGAAAGGATGTTAGAGATCATCTAATCCAGCCTCCGGAAGGGACCTTAAAAATAAGAAAAATAAGCATCATGAGGCCCCATGCCAAGCTTATGTAATTATTCCTTAAAAACATGTATCGATGCAGTTTAAAACATGTCTCATTTGATATAGTTTTCCTCCGCATTTTTGGGCTTTAAGTCCAAGATGGATTATACATAAGGGTGCTTGCATTCATAAAATTTAGCACAGTGAAGACAATACTCTGATTTAGCATTAAAGTTCACGGGATGGGGCTTGCCTGTATTATACAAATTCTCAAACACATGGAAACAAAAGATTGGATATGATTCCAACAAGATAAAAATATCAAAGTAATTAAAAATATTTGAGTTTTTCCTGCAGAGATCTCAAAGCGCTTTTCAGAAAAATAAGTATCACTATCACAAGCAAAAAGAAAATGAATGATAAATGGAAGAAGTCATCTACTCTAGAACTATTAACAGTAAATGAAATGTTAACAGTATGATAAACTCCAACACAATCTGTAAATTAATGCAAATAATTTTGTATTAGAAGGATGAGGGCTCGGAACATGTGCCTGCTTTGCAAAAGTAACTGAGGGTAGATGAGTGCACCAGAAACGTGATTCTGGAACACCCTTCGTCCACCTTATTTTCCATTAAAAAATAACCACGATGTAAGTTGTCATTTCTTTAAAAAACAAGCAAACAAAAAAAAATCCCAACAAGCAAACACACAAAAAAAAACCCCACAAAAAAACCCCCCAGGGCAATCACAAACTTTTAACAAAGAACCATCAATGATACGTTGTTTAACACCACCAAATTGCTAGCACGAATACTCTAATTTACTTTTCAAAGAGACTGTTGGACAGGAGACGGGAGTTGGCGCAGGAATCGGAGCGGGTTTTGCGTGGTGTGGTGGCGTTTTGTACTCGGACCTGAAAGTGTGCCTATTTTATTCTGGCAGCATCAGCGCCACACTGGCTAGAGACAATTATGTGGAAAACTGCCATAACTTTAATAAAGCAAGTATCTCCCTTGGTTCTGGCAAACTCACTTGAACAAAGCAAGTGCTAGTTTATTCACCCACGTACGAGTTTCTAGGCAGAGCTGCATTACCAGCCTTGTTTCTGTTCTTTAAAAGAATTATACAGGTAGCCAGTTACTCTCTAATGACAAAACAGCTCCTGTTTTGAAAATCCCTGAGCTTTTCAATAAAATCTCTATGTTAAGCAATTTTATTTCAGGAACAGGTGTTACAGCTGCTCTGTACACTGATATATCACTGAGAATGTCCCCATAGATATTCAATTAAAAGGTGGCTGGGGAAAAAAGAGAGTAAACTCTTAGGATGAGAATAAAATCTTAGGATGCTTAGAGAATGAGCCTGTAGAATTCACATCAGGCTGCTGAACTGTGTTCCATGGACAATATCGTAATGGCGCACAAGCAGGATTTATCCTAACAAACCGTTTTTCTGGCTCCCAGCACCTAGTTCCTGATACAACGATTGTGAAATCTCACAAAGGACAGGGTCCTTGAGAGTTTCTAAGTATTTCTTACTGTGTGTTAAGAAGCCTTCAGGTCATCATAACTTGCGCTCCACGTATTTCTGGAAGTGATCAGCACTTCATAGACACAGGCACAGATCTCCCTTCGTTCTTAACAGTCCTTTACAGGGGGCTCATGCTGGCCTTGCCTGCTGTCCAGATTCAAAGGCCCACTGCAATAGGCTGAGATGTTCTGCTAGACTTCGCTTAGGACGTCAGTTTGCAAATTCTTCTTTAAAAAAAGATGGTGAGGGCGAGTGATATTTCTTGACAAGAACTCAATCATGAGCATTAAAGTATCACAAGATTTTTTCCGTTGATGAAGCCATTGCAAAACACACATTTGAAAAGTGGACAGCTAAACATAATCCTACGAGTGTCACAAATTTAATATTAAATCTGAAACCAGGTTTAGTGAAGAACATAAGAGCTGCACTGTTCAATATGGACTTTCAGTTAACTTTTAACACTTTTTCTTAGCCATACTATTACTTTAACAACTTCTTGACCCCACATTTTAGTTGCTGTCCCTGCAACAGCTTCTTACAATATGTACGTAATAATATATTTCTGCTTTGTTATGTTGATGACACTTTGATTCTTTTTATTGAATCAATCCTTGAGTATTGGAAAAAAATAATCTGTAAATGCTATAAAATATTCTCAGTGAGTCTTCAATCGATTTACCTCATTAAATACCCATACTTCATTCGTTTTACGTCTTCCAGAATGTTTAAAATGCAGATATTAGTGTTGTGGGATTAATGTTACCAACATTCATACATTTTAAAAACAAAAACAACCTCAGAAGATTTTTCTTAACTACAAAAAAGAATTGTTAATAGTGAAAGAATCCATCTGAACTGCAAAATGAAAATACCGAGATGATCTTGATTCACAGTGTTTATGGAAACGTGTAGCTGAATGAAGCCCTGTGTAGTTATGCTGAATTTTTTCATCTTTCTATTTAGGTTCTGAACTCGTTAGAGGATGACCTCTGCTTTTGTTTGAGATCAGGGTTTTATCCCTCACATTAGCTGTGTTCATCCATTCACGTTACTTCTTTACAGAATGGAGGCAGGTTCTTTGAGCCATTAGAGTATGTCATATAAACTCATATGAACTTAATTTTTCTTTAAGTGTTTGGCTCTCCAAAGAAAGGAGGGCGGTGATCCATCCCTCCCTGAAAACTATTGTTAGTAGCCAGTGAAGAATACTTAGTGTTTCCTGTGAGAGAGAAAAAAATACGTGTGCTATGGTATATACCATCCAAAACAAGTATCGACTGGCAATTATTCAGAATTTCCCATACGAAAGAACTATAAGCAACAGACGTTTTTGTGGGGGAAGCAGAATATGTTAATTTCTATCTATTGAAACAGATTTCCTTTCGTGATAATTTTTATTCTGACATGTTAATTCTATGAATACCCAAGAAATATGAAATATACAGCATGCATTGTTCAGGGACCACATCTGCTGAAAGAGAAATTTAGTACAGTTGTAAAAATAAACAACCTGGTTTCTACAGCCATGAAATAAGAGAACTGACCAATAAATATAATATATGACAAATGGAATTTTTAATGTTTTCTGGCACAGTCATTTATTCTTGAAAAAAGATGTCATTTTTGTCCATCAGCACACTACAAGCAAACTCATAAAAGGAAAGTTGCTGGTCATTTCCAAAATAAATGTCCCTAGTATAATCATTCATATGTATGATCTTAAGAGCACTTTTACTTTATCTAGGGAAGACACTAATCGCTGAAAAAATATTTATAGTATTTCTATTTCCTCCCAAGGCCAAAATGCAAACCTTTATTTCTTCCTTCTGTTTTTTATTTGTTTTGATGCTCTTTTGTTCTGTTTTGGTTTCGTAAAAGAAAATAAATTTTGTTTACTGAAATATCAGATGATGAAGCAGTCTTGATCTTGATAGCTCATTTGAAATGTTTTCCAAGTCGGTCCCCATACGAATAAATAGAGTCTTGGATAGTAAGTAAAGTAGGTGTAAAGTAGGAGGTGTACAGCCTGCCTTACGTGGGTAGTGAGCCAACGTGACTGGGTAGAACCATCTCCCGTTCTTCCCTCCTGCACGCACAGAGTTACTGTGAGGAACTCAGCCTTTTCTGGCTTTTTTTAGTCCCTGCACGAGCTTCTTCGTCATTCCTGAATTCTTCTGGTAATGTTTCACAGCACTTGCTACATGAAGTTCTGTTGAACCATTTAGGAATTTATTCCTGCAAGGCATACGAGTGTTTTGTTTCTAAACAAGGGAAGAATCTGAGATCTTTATGGTGATTTGCCCAAAACAATACGAGGGTGAAGGGTGGTTCCTACCTTCAGCCAAGAGACTTTTAATATCTTAAGATTCTTCACATTTTGTTTAGATTGGAGGTAGAATCAGTGGTTTTGACCAACTCTCTCAGGTGAGCTGACCATAGCTTTGCATCTCTAAGCAAGATACTGTAATCTTACTGTTTGGGCACATAGATAATTTCCTCTTTGAGATCTGTTTGTTTACATTTCTTTAAAGCACTTCAGCTGTTTTGCCTATATTGCTGGAGAAAATCCTCTTTTTCTTACTTGCCTAAGTACGGTTTTAATAAAGACTTGAAGAGCTAATAACAAAAGGTGACATAAAAAGCTGTTCAAATACATTTTTTTTAGGTACAACTATAGCTGTAGTAACTGCTTGTCATCTTCTTCAGCCATCAGGTTTGGGCGAATGCCACAAGCGGAGAAGGAGAAGCTCTTGGCAGAGATTTCCAGCGACATCGACCAGTTAAACCCTGAATCTGCTGATCTACGAGCACTTGCCAAGCATTTGTATGACTCATACATAAAGTCCTTCCCCCTGACTAAAGCCAAGGCGAGGGCGATCTTGACAGGAAAGACGACAGACAAATCAGTTAGTTCCCTCTCTTGTTTTTTTTTCTCTTTTTCTTTCTTTTGAGTAAATGATTTACCACATTGACAACCCATCTTTTAAAAAAAAAACAACAAAACACAAAACTTTGCTGTTGGCAGTTACATATTTCAAGCTGTCTCTGAAACACAGGAAATGTTTTTAGATAGGATAAGTAAACATTATTTGAAAAAACTCCAAGTCCACCTAATAAAATACTTGAAACCAGTACAAGAATTTGAAGGTCATCTTAACCTTTTTGTATTCTTTTTTTTCCGTTTTCCTTCTCCTTCGCCAAAGGTTATCTTCCACGCTATCTGTTTAAGGTGGCTGTCTTGCTGTCAGCAACTGGTCGCTGCCCTATTTGAGCATCCCTATCGCAGCTTATTATCAGGACTAGCTGTACCCGAAGGAGGAATATTCCTTTTCCTAAGAGTCAGATGATTCCCAGCACCGACACCATCGCTCTGATCAGGATGCTCTGATGACTTCCTGCATTTAACTGGGTTATCTTCGATCAGATTAGCATCCTGCGTTGGTGCAGTTTGGATTTCAGGACAGCGTACAAGAAAAGCTTTGAAAAGTAAGGAGTAGAGATGTGTGTATTTGGGGGTTGCTTTGGAAACTTCGCTGACAACACGTAACAGTCTTCTGTATCAGTGAGGAGGATAAATAAGATCTGATAATTATGGTAGATTTTAAGTTTCGTCACTGTTTGAATAACTAAAGAGCGAAATGGTTTTCCACAACTTACAACCCTTGGTTTGATATATTTTTCTAGAATCATCGGCAGAAATTTTATTGTCAGGTCTACAATGGAGACCGTATTTTATTTTCTTTCATAATTTCAAAGACAGGAAAGAATTTGGTAGTTAAAATCGTAATTGAAATATTGTCCCTAATTTGGTTTTACCCCTCACATAAAAACCTCAGATATAGTGAACACTTGCAATTTGAGTAACTTTTCTTCATGAAGTATATAAAGTTTGAGCTAGAATAGCTTATTTATTCTGCAAAAAGCTGATACACCAAGTCCACTTGAGGGTCATCGCTTTTCCAAAGTCTTTTCACAGTTCCCTCTCTGTATCAGAAACACTGGAAACAGAGGAAACTGGGAAAGAATTAATACAGCAATTTAGTCTTTTTAAAGTGTGTTCTCAATAACCGTGCACCTGCAGAAGTGCTGTGTATAATTACAGATTTTGTTTACTCCATTTTAACCTAAACTCAGGAGACCTGCTCCTTTTTTTCCCTGCAGCTGCCCGCTGAGCTCTCTCTAGAGGACGACAGAGGTTTGGGCAGGGCTACCTATGGCGCTCTCATCTTCACTTTTTCCAGGCGTGTGTTTAGAACTCAGGGACGTTTGTCTCTGAGGTCCCAAGTGCACGCGCAGCTCCTGCTCTTGTTCTTTAGGGTTCCGCGGAGCCGCTGTTGAAATCGACTGGCGAGTGGTTTGCTGCTCTGCTGCGCTGGGTATTTCACTAAAGTCTGGGCTCGTGCAACTTGGTTGTGTCTGAAGATGACGCTCAGGCGGTACTCGTGCAGTAAATGTACAGTGTGCCATCAATGGTGTTCTCCTGCGTTTTAAACCTTTGCCAGGCTAGAATATGGCAGCAAAACAATAGATGCAGAATTCAGTTTTTCATTGCTACAAATTATGAAGTCTTTAAAAAAGTCACGCTGCAAGAGTGACAGTATGTAATGGTTACAACTTCTGTGTTATCTGCGCTGTAATGGACTTTGTGCTTTGGAACACTGGTCTGTTTACTATGGGCATAGTTTAAATTTACGTTGGTTTTTAATTGCTATATCATCCGCTTTAAGTGACAGTGATTGGGTAGGCTAAGTGTGTCAAAACTGAAATGTCTAACTTAGCCTCTTCTGGGATATACAGTGCTCCTTTAATGTAAGATTCTCCTCACAAAGTTCATCTGAGTCTTCATATTAAAAATGTCTTTAGCTATTTTGTCTTTAGCGATTCTTGATTTTCATCTTCCAATGTCAGGAGGCCAGTGGCGTAGTATAGTCTTCCTAAAGCACATGTACATGCACAGAATAGATGACTTTTTCCTTGTACTTTATGCTCCCCCTCAATTTTGTCTAGAAGGCAAAGGACTAGTACTAAAGGACTAGTACTAAATCATGCATTTAAAAAGCCTCCTCTGCAGTCTTGTTATTCCACATGTGTATGTGCAGATATGTATAAAATGTTGATGTTTTCTGCTGCCAAAATAGCATTAAGTCTTGAAAAATACCTTATCCCCCTGGCTTTTCTCCGTGCGGTGTGTTTATTTTTTCAGTTTCACACCAAAATCCTAGTGCAAGTGGAAGAACTCGTGTCAGAGCTCACGCTCTCTTGAAGTGAACCTCCTGGTCTGGAGCGCTCTTTGCCCGTGGTTACTGCACAAGTGCCAGCACACATTTCATTGGTCGTGCAAGCAGCAGGATATTAATTGAACTAAACCATTTTAAAAGCTGAAATCCTCTCGTGCGGATAACTGTTATTTCAGTTCAGGGACAGACCTCTGTTTTCTGAGCAGCTGTATCAATTAAAGACAAAGCTGTCGGCTATCGTCCCTCCCTCCCTCTCCAGTGGCAGCGGTTGGAGCTTTGTGTTCTGGAAGAGGAGACCGAACACTTTCACAGTCTCCATCTGCAGAACTCGGGGAGGTGGGAGCAGTAACCTCTAGCTGGTGGGAAGTGCTAAGCATCTGTGGACCGGATCCTCTTCAGACTCTAAAGAAAATAGCTGCTTGCTTTTTATTTTTTTGTTTTCCAATTTTAAAAATCCCGTGAGAATTTAGCGCTGTATACACTTCAAAGCTGCTTTAATCAAATAGGAATAGAATTGTAAGAGTTTTCGGAGGCTGGTGCTGCTGGAGAGGACTGCTGCCTTCATATAGGAAGGCTTGGGATCTTTCTGAGTCTGTTCTGCAGCATGTAGTGACTATAAATCCCAGAGGGTGAGCACCCATATGAATAAGGCATGAGAACCTGTAATCGTGAAGGATGTTCACAGGCCTGTTGGTATCAGAAGTTGATTCAGTGCGGCAATGAGCTATTTAGTTGTTTATGCCTTGAGAAAAGTAATTTCAAGTAAGCCCCACTTCTTTAAAACCAGGAGCTGCTTCTGCATATTCTGAAACAGATTTTTCCCGATCTTAATGAAAGTTTTCCTGGCACAGCTTTTTTCTCCTCTGCTCTCACAATTGATTTAGTCCAGTTGAGTTTGTTTCACAGTCAGACTCATAGCTGTGTTCCGCATTGTGCAACTCTTGTCCTTGGTGTTTTCTTTCCTGTTGACAAGTTGTTCGAGTTTGAAGTTTCTATTACTGCCAGCCTTTTCTAGGAGGATAGAACTTGAAAATTAGGACAGTATATGAAGTAATAAAAGTGTGAATATACGCTGTCTTTCTACAAATAAAGATGTTGTATTATTGGGAGTGCAAACATGTCACGGTACACTAGATTCTATTTTATAGAAGCGACTGAAGTTCAGGTAAAAAGAGTAACTTTTGCATCTTTTGTTAATAAGCTTTCCAAATGCTGACTTCTGGTATTACAGAACTTGTGTCAAAGAAACAAACGAACAAAAAAGGCTAAAATCATGGATAATTTAAAACAGTGCTTCTTACTCCCTCCCCCCAATTATTAAGAAAAAATATCAGCCAAAGCCCTATTTTTTGAATGTAGATTCACAGAATATGTGAGAAGTCCTTAAGACCTCCTTGTCCTCTCTGTAAACCATTTCAATGTTGTCAGGATATTTACTTTAATAGGTTTATGAAGTTTTAACTCTTTTGGGTCAACTGCCCTTGACACATTCCTCATAGATTTCAAATGAGTTACACCTCTGGACACTAGTTCGGTTTCTCAGGAGTCAAATGTTCACAACAAGGGCCTTTCAAAGTAAATCGTCTTTTCCTTTTCTGTTTTAGCCATTCGTTATTTATGACATGAACTCTTTAATGATGGGAGAAGATCAGATCAAGTGCAAGCACGTGTCACCGCTGCAGGAGGAGAACAAAGAGGTCGCAATTCGCATTTTCCAGCGATGCCAGTTTCGCTCAGTGGAAGCGGTGCAGGAGATTACAGAATTTGCCAAGAACATTCCAGGTTTTGTGAATCTTGACCTGAATGATCAAGTAACTCTCCTGAAATATGGGGTCCATGAGATCATATACACTCTCCTGGCTTCTCTGATGAATAAAGATGGAGTTCTCGTATCCGATGGACAAGGATTCATGACGCGGGAGTTTCTGAAGAGCCTGAGAAAACCTTTTTGTGACTTTATGGAACCCAAGTTTGAGTTTGCTGTGAAGTTCAATGCACTGGAATTAGATGACAGTGACCTGGCGATATTTATAGCTGTCATTATACTAAGTGGAGGTAAGTGCTGTCTTGTTTAACATGGTATTTTATATAATAGAATTGACCCTTTCAATTCCTGTCCAAACAGGGAAGTGCTTAGCACTACAGGATTGGGGTCAGATTATTTGCACATAGTGCTTTGTTAATTTTCAGCTTATCTGATGCTGTTTGCCCTTTTTTTCAGTTTCAGGCAGAAACTGAAAACATAAATGACCTGATAGTAATGACGGTGCTGGAAATGCCTGCTGAATCAGCAGTTTGTGCAGTTAGAAGACAAAATCATAGAATCATAGAATCACAGAACA